AGGGTAATGTACTTTGTTGGGACTTTGTGTTTCTCCAAGACCCACCACATGACATTCTACGATTATCTTATCGTAGGCCTTTCAAGTCAACGAACATAATATGTAGGTCCTTCTTTTGCTCCATGTATCTCCATAAGTTATCGTACGAGAAAATAACTTCCATGGTCGGCCTTCTAGGCATGAAACCAAACTGATTTTTTGTCACGCTTGTTATTCTTCTGAAGTGATGCCCAATGACTCTCCCATAGCTTCATTCTATGGCTCATCAACTTAATTCCACGGTAATTTATATATTTTGGAACACCCCTCTTATTCTTGAAGACTGGTACTAATATACTCCGCCTCCGTTCTTCGGGCATCTTGTTTGATCGAAAAATGAGGTTGAAAAGCTTAGTTAGGCATACTATTGCTATCTCCAAGGCATCTCCACAACTCTGTGGGGATACAATTAGGGCCCATGCCCTTGCCTCCTTTCATCATTTTTGAAGCCTCCTTGGCCTCCTGGATTTGTCACACAAAACGTCGTTGGCATCATTAAGGAGTCGTCCAACTCAATGGCAGGGCCCTCATTCTCTCCATTCAACAGTTTGTCGAAGTACTCTTGCCATCTATTCTTGATCTCCTCGTCCTCCTCGTCCTTCACCAAAAGTCGATTTGCTCCATCTTTGATGCATTTGACTTGGTTGACATCCCTCGTCTTCCTCTCTCGGATCTTGGCCATCTTATAGATGCCCCTTTCGCCTTACTTCATGTTTAAACGCTAGTAGAGGTCCTCATACGCCCGACCCCTTGCTTCACTCACCGCTCGGTTTGTGGTCTTCTTTGCCACTTGTACTTCTTTATGTTGTCAGCACTCCTATCCAGGTGTAGGCATCTGAAACAATCTTTCTTCTCCTTAATAGCCTTTGGAAAATCATCGTTCCACCACAAGTTATCTTTAGCTTCGCTTCTACTTCCCCTGGTCACCCCAAACACAAGTCACCATCTTCATCCACATATTGTTTGCACCACCTCCTTCCTTCCAAGAGCCTTCTTTAATAACCCTTTCCTTGAAAGCCTGAGCTGCCCCCATCCCCTTGAGCTTCCACCACTTCGTTGTAGCGACTTTGGCGCACTTATCCCTCTAGACACATATCCGGAAGCTGAAGTCAGCCACACCAAGCTTATGTTGAGGGACAACACTCTCTCCAAGTACTACCTTACAATCTAGGCAAGCACACATGTCCTCTCTTCTCGCGAGGAAGAAATAAATCTGGCTAGAGTGTTGACCCCTACTAAAATTGACTAGATAGGATTCTCTTTAAAGAGGGAGTTAGCTACGATGATGTCATAGGCTAAAGCAAAGCTTAAGGCATCCTCTCCTTTCATTCCTGCCGCCATAACCAAAGCCCCCATGCACCCTTTCAAAACCTGTGTTAGATGTACACACGTGGCCATTGAGGCCCCCCCTCCTGTGAAGAGCTTCTCGCCAATAGGCACACTCTTAACCATGTCCTAGGCCTACCCAGAACTCCCTCTTGGTGCTCTCATTGTGGCCTACTTGCGGGGCATATGCGCTGATAACACTGTGAACTAAGTCCCAAACTACCAGCTTTATCAGGAGAATCCGGCCCCCTTGCCTCTTGATGTCCGCCACTCCATACTTGAGGCTCTTGTTGATCAAGACGCCTGCTCCATTTTTGTTTGTAGTTGTCCCCGTGTACGATAGCTTGAAGCCAGTGTCCTCCACCTCCTTTGCCTTTTGCCCCTTCCATTTAGTTTCTTGTACGCATAAGATGTCAACACGTCTCCTCGTCGCTGTATCAACTAACTCCTGTAACTTACCCGTCAGGGACCCTACATTCCAACTATAAGCAGATCCTACGTGGCTTGGCTAGCTTCCTTACCCTTCGCACCCGTCAAGTCAAATGCGAAGATCCTTGCTCACTTTTCACTACACCTGGGCGTCGATGTAGTGAGCCACTAAGGATGCGACGACCCGATCCTTGCTCACTTACCACCGTATCCAGATCAAGATACGGCGCCCCACCAAGGGGGTGACGGCCCGGCCCTTACCCATTTAACACCACACCCTGGTTCATGGCATGTCGCAAAGAGGGTTATGCCCCAACATAGTCCTTTTGGGTTTCATTTCCATAAGAGTGGCTGAGGTTTGACATCGGTTCGCCAAGCCTATCACTACCCTCCTCCTTTACCCGGGCTTGGGACCGGCTATGTTGAGACAACATAGGCGGAGTTAGTCATGACACAATCTATTATAAAAAATAACTATATAATTATTTAACTGATTTGCGGTCCTAATCACATTTCTCATATGAAGGCCATGGATCTTTTTGTAATACACCCTTTCAGTACCTAATTGCCGGTCTTTAGACTATTTCTGTTCAATTATATGGACAATATAGACAAGCATGATCCCCCTTTTGTGGGGGGTTCTTTCTAGCTTTTAATATCAGTTGTATCGTAAATACTTGACTGATCATTTCATGTTTCTTGATTCAGAAAATCTAGCGATGATGGCATATCATCCTGGGATTGGAAATTAAGGGGTGATCGTTCAACATACCATGCTTTGTTTCCTCGAGCATGGACTGTTTATGATGGTAATGCTACTCATTTATTTTAGTAAGAAATCACTCCAAGCAGTAAGATGGACATCATGATAACAAGATCGCTCCAGTTTCCTTATCTTATGGCTCATAGGTCATAGTTTTTAGTTGGGCATGCACAATAGCTGTATATGATGTTCGAGCTTTCCACATCTGTCTATTATATATTATATATATATACTAAAAGCACAATATGGTTGAAAATAGAGAGATATGCTAGAAATTTCCACAAAAAGAAAAACATCCGATCGTTGATCTGGTGGACCGTCTCTTTATAGTAGATCACAACCTTTCGATCTATATAATCGTACCTAAACAGATCATACCCGTTAGATCAACATAAATGTACCTAAATGATCGTACCCATTAGATCTAGTATATAAGCATGCCTAAACAGATCCCATCTGTTAGATTTGTGTAAATGGACCTAAACAGATCGATTCTTTGTAATTGTGCCTAAACACATCACACCTATTAGATCTTCATAATTGTACCTCCACAAGATCATAACTGGTAGATTGCGTAACTATAGCTACATTGTACCTACAGTCCTACACAGATCGTACCTGGTATATTTTGTAACTCTAGCTACATAAATCACCAATGGTACATCATCACAGTTGCATTTAGAAAAATCTCACACGCAAAAATATTTTTAAGCGCACATGTTAATTATTATTAGTTGAACTATAAACGATATTACATGTATGCTAAATGTTATTTAAATAACTTAGACCCCACTACATACACTAATGATGTGCAATGGATACATGACTCCTATAAAAATATAGTACATAATTTCCTTTTACCATATTATGCTCTGTAAATAATTAGACTACCGACAACATACAAATTCTTTAGGACGATACACTAAAAAAGTGGTTGGGAAGTTATTAGGCTCCAGCATGAGCATCGACAAAGTAGCGCTTATTGATTACTAGAACCTAAGGACTGAAGGCTGAGGGTGCTAATCATTGATTTGTTAATTTTTTTGTTTTAGTTATAAAAGAAGGATCCAATTGTATAAGCAAAATCTCAGTGCAAGCATAATTCGAGGAGGATATGAACAGAAGCAGATAAAATGACATAGGGCAAATAACACGTCGTTTTAGACATGGATACAGGCCTGCGCTAGCGACCATATGATAATTGATCTTGCAGGTCTGCATATTGCGGGTTAGTTTGGTTGGTGTCATCCACACCTATGGTATAAACAGGTTATTGAGAAAAAAAAATCAATATCATTAGATTTTTCTAAATATTTTCAATTCTTTTGCTATTTCTTAGCAACATAATCATATATTCATATACAAAATGAAGGTCGAAGTTACAGCTTAGGACTGCATCCATGTCTAAAACGACGTGTTATATGCAATGAAGGGGGTAAAATGCAAGAAAAAACAATGTTTGTATAAGATAAAAATAAAAAATAAATACTGAACACTTGCCACTGAATTATAAACTGCTAAGTGCTTTTAGTACGAACTAAATGCGTAATGCACGTTGATATCAGATAGAAAATTAATTGCATGTTTATATTAGGCAGAAAATTAATTACACGTTAATATTAGGTAGGATATCAATTACATGTTAATTACGTGGATAGTCTATATTTGTTATGTTATTAATTGCACGCTAAACATGTTAAACACTCGCCATTGGAGCAATATAGGCTTTGTTGTTGTTGTTGTTGTTGTTGTTGTTGTTGTATAGATATAGATTATGAGGCACATCATTAAAGGTACTGCAAACATGCTAATGAGACTCACAAGTTCTTATCCATTTGATTTAAAAGGTGAACCTGATCCTGAATTGAAATTATCTTGCCGTCAAATATCTCCATTTATTCCCCACAACTATGAAGAGAGTAGTCTCCCAGTCTCCGTTTTTGTCTACACTGTAAGTTCTTCATTACTTGTAGGAGCAATGGTTATTATGGCGCGATATAGACTTAATGTTTCACATGTCTGAAATTTGAACTCCTCATTGTATAAGCTTGTATGCAGAGCTTGTGTATGTTTATGAAGAGTGTATACGCTGTTAACACACTGAGAATATTACTGTACATTTAAGTACTGTGGCACGACCACCAATTTTATTAGAGATTTTTGATTTAGCATCATGCTTTTTCTTATTAATAACTGCTGCCTTATGTAGTATTTGTAATCTTATGTTTGTATGGGTATGAAAATTGTGCAGCTAGTGAATACCGGAAAGGAAAGGGCACAAAGTCAGCCTAGTAATGACCTGGGCGGTAGTAACTTGCTACTCTTTTACTCCAATGTTCTTATGTAATTTTTTCTTCTGTTTCTTTGATTTAATCATGTTCTGTTCTTGATGCGATCCAGAATTCTATTGGTGGACTTTCACATCAGTCTGGTGGTCATGTAAATGAACCATTCATGTCAGTTGGGCTTTGCTTAGTACAGTTTATGCTATAACTAAAAATATAGTGAAATGATTTGTAATCTGTTTCGTATGCAGTGGAGAAAATGGAATTTCTGGTGTTCTCCTACATCACAAGTAATGTCATCAACTGTCCATAATTGTCTTCCCTATGGTCATTTGGCAGATTTCCCTTAAGCATTTCTATGAAGTGCCAAATGCAAACTAAGAGCTTCTAGCTGATCATTGTTTGCAACAGTATCTCCACACTGGCTTGTTCTGATCGATTTGGGGACGGAGTTTTTTCAGTCACATAACGTATTCTCATCCCTATATTTCTATTAGAAGCACCAACAATCTCTGTCTAAAGAAGCAATAAGTTTTTGCCAGATACATGACATTCTCTGCACGTTTCTTCTAATCTAGTGTTTTGCTTATCTAGCAATAATTATCAATTACAAACGTTGCAGGACTGCCAACAATAATCCTCCAGTAACATTTGCTGTTGCTGCACATGAAAACCAAAATGTTGCCAACGTAAAAACTAGCCAGTCTTTTGGGTATGAAACCCATTTGGGCGAGAGTAGTACTAGGATGGGTGACCTCCTGGGAAGTCCTCGTGAAAGGGTTTCATATCTAGCCTACCCCAACTTGTTTGGGATAAAAGGCTTCGTAAGCAAAAAAGTAAGCAAAACAGTGTTGCCAATTTTTGGGCTTTCTGGAGAAAGTTCAGTCACTGCTAAGGAGATGTGGGGCACAATGGTCCAGGTGATTTTTCCTTTTGTCCTACAGTCAGAATGCACCTCTTTTTTGTAGGCTTGGTATTGGATATTCGTGCAAAGAAGTGAATCATACATTGAACCGATTTGTCTGTTTGAAATAAACAAAAACTGGCAAAAAAAATTGACTGTACTCTATGTCTTGCCATATAATTTTTGAAAGGGTGGTTGCTTTGACCAAGATAATTTCAATGCTGGCCCCAGCATGCCTTCTTCAGTGGGTGATACAGTTTGTGCAGCAGTTTCTGCTTCAACCTGGGTTGAACCACATGGAAGATGTACGGTCGTATTTTCGTTGGCTTGGTCTTCTCCCGATGTTAAATTTAAGAAGGGAAGTACGTACCACAGGTAAATTCTATTTTCCAAACTTCTTATGTTTGGTGATAATAATGCTAAGTCCAAATGAGTATGTTGATTCATCTATTCTGAACTCCAAAACATGTATGTTCTGCACACTCATTAGTTTATCCTCCATCCTTACTGTAGCATTATACTTCATAGAACATAGTGATTGTGATTTTATAAACTTAAATCGAATTCCGTAGGCTGAATTTATAATTCTGCTACCTTTTTTTAAACTTTCCGTGTTTATTTATCTGAATATATACTAAGATCAATAAGACCAGCTGTTCCATTTGTTTAATAAGGTTTGATTTCGTGCTCTTTTGGCAGGAGATATACGAAGTTCTACGGAACTTCCCCAAGATCTGCTATAAACCTGGCGCAAGATGCCTTGATGAGTATGTTTTTGTTTTAAAAAATTGTGGCATACATTTGGTATATGTTGACTATAGCAGTTAATTTTCTCCTCATACATGAAGATTATGGTTTGATTACTCTATTCTAGCGGTGCTCTCTCTGTTGAGATATTTTTCTGGTTAATTTATTACTTCTGAATCTGTCTATTGATTCCCATCTGATTGACAGAGTACAAGCATTGGGAAGAGGAAATCGATAAGTGGCAGACCCCAATTCTCCGTGATGAGAGGTTTCCAGAATGGTACAGTATAATACTTGTGCATGACTTACACTCATAACTATTTCTAAGATTATTAAGGAAATAGCCTACTTTCTGCCCCAAAGTATCACAAATGTTCCTCTTAACCCCCTAATAAGCTATATTTTGCATTGTTACATCTCGGAGTTTTAATACTGGACCATTTCTCTAGGAGGGCGATTTTAGGAGCCGTCCTCTGTTCTTGTCTACTGGGGCATTATAGGCTACTCTGTACTCTCTCATTTCTTCTCTTTGGCTGTAAATCAATCAGTTATCCATGTATAAGCCTCTCCGCCTGCTTGTCCTGCTTGGCAACCAAGGTGCCATCTTCTCTCCTGGATCTTCCTCATCATGCATGCTAGTTGTTGCAGTATTGTGGCCGTTCATCCCACTCGGATGCTTTGAGGTATCTGATTCCGAAGGCTCCACCGTAACCCTAAGACTCGTGATAGTCACGTCAGCTATGCATGCCTCGTGGGCTGTCATGCAAAGCCGAGTCGGACCGGGTCATATGCCCATCATTGATGGCCCCCGAGATTGGGATGAGAACCGCAGAGGGCCAGGCCGTCTGCCCGCCCTCCACGGCCCTAAGATTCGAACTGCTTCCTTTACCACTGACTGAGAGCCCATCGATGACAAAGATGAAGAAGCCACCACTCGCCGCACCGTTGACAAGGACAGGTGAGACCCTGCCGATGATGCAACATCTCTCCATCCTGCCGTGGAGATCACGTCGACTAGGACGACAGGCTCCCGTAGTACCACCTGGAGAGGCCCCTTCCAACGCCTCAGCTCCGGCGACGGTAGCTGCTTCACCACGCACACTGCAGTCGGCGATCCTGCGAACACGCCGTCAGACGCCAACAGCCCAACGGTCGGATCGGTGCTGGGCATCATGGGGTCAACAACGTAGCCGCCTATAAGACGGAGTAGGCAACGACGAGTGCAGTAAAAACATTTACCGATGGGATCGTCCCTCCACCCCTCCCCCTGATCGTCCCTCCGTTTTTTGCGTTCATAGTCGTTCAAAGTTCAGGGTGGTTAATTATTCAGAAAATTAGTTTCATGGTCAACCTGAGGTGCGATACTCTTGCCTTTGGGGGAGTGAGGTGGACAGTTTCCAATTATTAATCACATGGAATTTGAGCCTTCACTTCATATGTCTTTTAGAGAATCTACTTTTTTGTCTAGCTTTAGCCATGCACGATAAATATATATTTATGCGCTACATTCTACTTTACTCTTGCAGGTACAAAATTACTCTCTTCAATGAGTTATACTTCCTAGTGGCTGGAGGAACTGTTTGGATTGGTAATCATCTCTCCAGATCCTTATTCCTGATTTTCCTTTTCTCTCTGTTGATAGGATTTGACTTGATAGTCTCATCTTGGAATGTCCTTGTCCAGACCTCACCTTCCAAGTTAACAACCCCTTTGTAGCACAGTATTTATTTTACATGAACGGAGACATTACAATACAAATTTGTATTTTCTCCATTCATGAATATTCATGTGGAGTATTCCACATGAACTACCACTAGGTTATTTCTATGTAGAAATAGTTCACTGCAATATTAAGCTGTTTAGAACAAGAGAAAACAAATTCCTCAGGAAATATTTATTTATTTGGAACGAACAAGTTCTTATTGATCTATATAGCACATTTATTTCAAGTCTAAGTTCTTTTGGAACAAAGAAAACTTATTCGATGTGATTGGTTCCAGAGTATATTAACACAGTACTAAATTAATCTTGTCATTTTAATTGCATCTACTCTCATGAATGGTGACAATGCCAAAAGATATAATTATGTGTATGCTTCTATAATGTAGTTTTGTAATTACTGATCTAGTGGTATGTACTCCCAGACAGTGATTTGAGTTCAAGTCTACCTGAGGACAGTGATTTACCACTTCATAACAGCACTTGCAACTCTACAGTTCCACTTATTGGTTCTAGCCCACCTGATTTTGATGACAAAGAAAATGTTGGGAAGTTTTTGTACCTTGAAGGAGTGGAGTACTTCATGTGGTGCACTTACGATGTACACTTCTATGCTTCGTTTGCTCTGTTGGATCTCTTTCCTAAGATTGAGCTGAGTATTCAACGGGACTTTGCTAGAGCTGTTTTGCGTGAAGATAAAACTAGAGTCAGATTTCTTGCTGATGGTACATGGGGCACACGCAAAGTAATTGGTGCTGTTCCCCATGATCTCGGAGCACATGATCCTTGGCATGAATTGAATGCATACAATATACATGATACAAGTAGATGGAAAGATCTGAATCCCAGGTTTGTGCTCCAAGTTTACAGGGATTTTGCTGCAACAGACGACATGTCATTTGGCAAGGATGTCTGGCCTGCAGTTTGTACTGCTATGGAATACATTGAACAGTTTGATCGTGATGGTGATTGTATGATTGAGAATGATGGTTTTCCTGATCAAACTTATGATGCTTGGACTGTTCTTGGAGTAAGTGCCTACTGTGGTTGTCTTTGGCTTGCTGCCCTTCAAGCTGCAGCCGCAATGGCCCGCAGCCTTGGACATGGTGACTATGCTGACAGGTGCATGGTGAAATTTGCGAAGGCTAAACACGTGTTTGAAGCCAAGTTGTGGAATGGTTCATATTTCAATTATGACAGTGGAACAAGTTACAGTAGCCGCTCCATCCAGGCAGATCAGTTGGCCGGACAATGGTACACTGCATCATCTGGCTTGCCACCTCTGTTTGATGAGGACAGAATAAAATGCACGCTTCAGAAAATATTTGACTATAATGTGATGAGGGTGAAAGGAGGACGCATTGGAGCAGTCAATGGTATCACCCAAATGGGAAGGTAGACGAGACATGTATGCAGTCAAGAGAAATCTGGACTGGAGTAACATACAGTTTAGCTGCAACGATGCTGCTCCACGGAATGGAGGATCAGGCTTTCACTACAGCGCAAGGCATTTTTCTTGCAGGATGGTCTAAAGAGGGCTATGGGTATACCTCTTGTTTCATCACTATCTTTTAAAGTTTTAGTGTTTCACATATATTTGCTTTTGATCAGGATCATGCTTTTTAGTGTTGATGGTTGCCCTATCTTAAATTCTTAATTCATCTAATAATGCCTATGATTTCATTAAATACCACTTGTTCATTGGTTGTTGGATATAATCATATAGGGACTCAATTTATTTGAGATAACTGGTTGTTGGATATAAGCTATAAATAGTTAACATATCACTTCAATCAGGTATTGGTTTCAAACTCCAGAAGCATGGACTATTGATGGCCACTATAGATCTCTGATATATATGCGCCCGCTTGCGATATGGGCAATGCAGCATGCGCTGTCTCCTCCAAGGGCGATCCTCGAGGCCCCAAAGGTAAATACAATGGAGAGGGCCTACGTTTCTCCTGGTGCGCTCCAGTTTCTCCAGGATAGCGTCAGGAAGATCACTCCCAAGAGTGGCTGTTTTTGAGCCAATGTGTATGTGGTCTGTGGTTGCTGGTGTGATTAGAGATTTAGCTCAATTATTCCTGTACATGCATCTGTAAAGAAATGCAGAGTTGCAATTTCCTTTCTGCGGAGGGAACTTCATGTGCAACCAATCTTGTATATTGTGATCATTGTCAGTGAACCCAACTCTGTACAGTACTGTACATTATATGTATAGACCCCATGCGATGTTGCGTGAATTGGTTGATGAAAATTTGGGTTGATAACATGACAACCAAAACTAAAAATACATATGACTTACTATATCTGATTATGTATAACTATATCGGATTATGTATAAGTATAAAATATGTATTGAATACAAGTAGAATAATTGAATGGAGAACATTTTTCCATGCATGGTTGAATGTTGTGGTGGGTTTTTTGTCATGCATGATTGCATGTTAAGGTTGGCCTTTCCTATTCGTGATTATATGGTGAGGTGGCATACTTGCATGTTGAGATAAATGAGTTAATGGAGATAACTCCCTTAGAGCATCTCCAACAGCCGCGCTAAGCGCCGCGCGCAAAAAACCTGTTTGCCGCGCGTGCTTCGGCTGGTTTAGCGCGGCCGCCAGCGCTGGCTCCAGCAGCCGCGCTATAATGCAGCGCGTGTGCGCCGCTCCAGCAGAGCGCAAAAATACAGCGCGCGCGCCGCACAAATCACATATACATTTCAAAGAAGAAGAGCAAAAATGATCAAACAAACAAAATAAATCAACAATAAATAGTTCAATTTCGTTATCATTACAACTCAAACAAATAGTTTATCGTTCAGTACAACAAATAATGCAATAAACACAACAAATAGTTCATGAACAATACAATGTCGAATGCAGAAATCATCATGCTCTTTGTCGTCCATACCATGCCCACCACTCTTCAATCAGATCATTCTGAAGTTTATTATGCGTTGTGGGATGCCGAATGGCATGATAGGAGGCAATAAAACGGGCTACCCTTTCAGCCCTCCGTCGCACTCGCACGGGATGTCCCAAGAGTTCATACTGTGAGTAGTCTAAATCTTGGCCACACTCATTCTCGATGATCATGTTGTGCATGATCACACAAGCGTGCATGATGTATCAAAGCATTTTTTGATCCCAAAATCTAGCCGGTCCTCTCACAATAGCAAATTGGGCTTGCAAAATCTCAAATGCTCTCTCCACATCTTTTCTAGCCGCCGCCTGAGCATTGTGGAAATCAAGATATTTCTTACCTTCCGGCTTTTTCAACGGCTTCACGAAGATTTGCCACTTTGGATAAATGTCATCCGCTAGATAATAGCCATAATTGTACGTACGGCCATTTGCTACAAACTGCACAGGTGTCAACTCACCGTTTGCAATCTTATTCATTAGTGGTGACCGGTTGACAACTTTGATGTCATTCAAAGATCCAGGCATTCCAAAAAATGCATGCCAAATCCAAGTCTCCTGATCGGCCGCCGCTTCAAGGATTATAGTGGAACCCTTTTTTGGCCATGGAATTGCCCATGCCATGTCTTTGAACAATTCTTCCAACTCCAATGCATGCAACCTATTGAGCCAAGCATGCCAGGAAAGCCGCGCACTTTGTTCATCGCCAATAGCCTTGCGGCGTCTTCAGCAGTGGGAGATCTCAAATACTCCTCGCCAAACACTTGCACAATTCCCACTGCAAAGCGCTTGACACACATGATGGCTTGGCTCTCACCCATAGCCAAGTGATCATCAACTAGATCAGCCGGGATACCGTATGCCAACATACACAAAGCGGCTGTCACCTTCAGAAAGGTGCTATGCCCGAGCTCTCCGGCGGCATTCCTTCTTTGCTGGAAAAACCGGTCATGGCTCGCTAGTTTCTCTGCAATGCGCCTGAACAAGTCGGTGCTCATCCTAAACCGGCGACGAAAATACGACTCCGGGTATGTGGGATTCTCCACGAAATAGTTCTTCATCAATCTGTTATGGGCATCAATCCTATCTCTCCAAATTTTCTCCCGTTCCATAACCGAACCACCGTGCTTCGGTTTTTTATTGATATGCATAGCTAGGATCATTGCAAGATCCTCCTCCTCTTCCATATCAAATTCTTCTTCGGAAGAATCATACGACGAACTCATCTACAATGTTCAATACTATACTATAAAAACTACAATTCAAAACATGCACCAAATTCATGAAGTTTGAGCAATACATACCTTGTAGGCGTTTTGTCGAACACCTTGCGGGCGCGGCACGGCAGCGAGCGCTCGGACGTTGTTCCTCGGACGACGGAGGCGCGTGAGCACCGGCGGGACTAGGAGGGGATGGGCGGAAGCGCGGCGGCGCGGGGATAGGCCGGGGAAGCGCCTGAAAGGTTGCCGGGGGGCGCGGGCGGCGGCGGCGGCGCGGCCGGATGGGGGTGGAAGTGGGAGAGGAAGTGCGAGAACGAGCGCTCGAGTGTGCCGCGCGCTGCAGCGGGCGCCCGAAATACACCGCGCGGGGCAGTGTTTCCGACAGCGCGCCCAATTCGTTATAGCGCGCGCGCTGGAGCGACCCGCCGCGTTGCGCGCGCGCTAAAACCGACTAATTTGCGGCGCGGCGCTGCGCTTGTTTAGCGCGGCTGTTGGAGATGCTCTTAGGTATATAAGAATGTGAAAAATCTCATCTCTATTGTTTTGTCCTTTTAAAAAAACTTGTCTTGTTGATAATGTTGTGTGGTACCTTGCCATATCTTACAGATTCGCATAAGAAGGGATCTGGGTCGCATGGCACCACTAGAAATCCAAGTTTGGCCGGGGTGTGTGTTTTAATGACGAATTTGATTATATTTGGATCCTAGGTCTAATTTAATAGGGTTTTCCGGCGTGCTAACCAGCGAACATTGGGTTTTTAAGCAATCGCAGTGAATACCCTTAGGACAGTTACAGTCAGATCCCGATCAACGCATGGCAATTACTCTGTGCAGCATGGTAATCTTTTCTGCCATTTCTTTTACTATGTGGCAAAACAAAATTAGAGCATGGCAAATCCGTTACAACATGTCAATTTTATCTGTTTTCGCATGACAATAACGGAAAATCTTAAAAATCTGACATCAGCGTTTTTACATTTTCTTTTCTTTATTGTCATGGAAGTTCATGAAATAACGTCCTTGTTTTTCATTGGAAAAACCAATGCCAATATCAAGATCAATCTTCTTTCTTTTTTTGGGAGCAGAGTTGAAAAAGACAAGAAACTCCAATGATATTTCGTTCATTAGAATGTTGATTCCTCACAATCGCACTTTCTGATGTTGCGGAACCATGGCAATTAGAATCTCAAGAAGCGGCAACACCTATGATACAAGGATCATCGACTTACATCATGATATATTTTTCTTCCCGGTTCTTATTTTGGTTTTCTTATCATGGATGTTGGTTCACACTTTATGGCATTTTGGCGGAGCAAACTAATCCAAACCCACAAAGGTCTAATCAAATAATTGCATGATTTGTTTTCTGGGGTGAAGCGTGTGGGGCATGTGTGTTGACACGTATAGGCTGCATGTTAGTGGTGTCGGTATACTCAAAAAATTGGTTCCCTCCGAGCACACCAAAATGGGCCTCACAAAAAAAAATATCCATAGTTAAGTTGTTGCCGATGTTGAAGAAGCTTGGCCTCGTCCAGTTATACTACGACTAGGAGTCAATTATGAATCACTCACGAGAACTAAAGAAATGCTCCAAGCACGACACCTGACATCTTGATGAATTCCTGAGCACGACCAAGCTCCCGAGTACGACCAAGCTCTCGAGCACGGCCAAAGCCACCGAGCGTGGCTACCCCAGGCTTAAGCTTTGGATTAGGCAAAGTAAATTTGCCTACAACATATTTAATGTCAAGCAGGAGAAACCGTAGCCCGTGAAGCTACGTATTTTAGGGGAATGATGGAGCTTTGCATGACGACATCGCATTTCCCCACGTGATAAGGGGTGGACTGGTGGTGACACGGGCGGGCCCTCTACTTTATTTCTCTGCAACTCGGGAACATGAAGTTGAAATCGCTAGTGCAACTCATCAGACTGGCACAACTACATAGAACCACCTTTTTGACTATGGTTCTGGCACCATGACAAAAGTTGCGGCCTCCACTAGCTACAGACACTGACGTGTTGAGCTCAGAACGATGTCCGTGACCAAGTGTATCTATTGACCAGAGATACCTAGGATTTAGGCAACGATTACTTGCCACTCTCAGCAAGCTCCATGGTGAATACCGAAGCAACAAAGTCTATTGAAGCATTTTACCTTTTTTTACTCAAATGGCCATCGTAGGTCCCCTCCCTCCTAACTCTATAGAAGGGCAGTACCATGGGTATTAGAAGGAGACCGCTCCCAAGCACTTCTCTTA